AAGTCCTCTGCAGAGTTCAAGAAGAAAGCCGTATGGACCAGAGCGTACGGCTGGTAGCCCAGAGGAGCCTCGGTGTCCTGCTCAGGTGTTGCTGCTCGTACACAAAGAGACGCACGGCTGCTGGTCTGAGCTGTGGGCATGTTTAATGTTAGACAGTAACTGTACTGTAGGAATCTGTGCTGTCAATAAAAGTGCAACAAATCATTTTGGGTTTAGAACATCCTTTTCTCTCTTTACAGCAGATCGTTACATTCGACTTCATCCGTAACTCCAGCGAGCTGTGACTTCATGTTACTTCCTCTTCCTGTTCCACTTCTCCAGGTGGTGGTGCCTCTCCTTCAGCAGCTGCCCGACTGTGAGCGAGGCTCCTGAAAAGCAAACAGTGTTTTACACAGTTACTGTACAGTTACACTACAGTTACACAGTTACACCACAGCTACACTACAGTTACACTACAGTTACACTACAGTTACACAGCAACTTCATTCATGACACCAGTTTAACATCCCCAGATGGAAGATCCTCCTCAGTGTTGTCACCACAGACCTGGTCAGAAAGCTCGGACACTATGATGATGTGACAGTGAGGCCTGTAACTGTTCTTCATCGTCCTAGTCTTCCTCAGGAAACTGTCACCCATAGTTTTTCCAACAGTAACAAATCAGGAGAACCTGAGAACGTTTTCTTTTCCTTCAGTCTGTGTTCTAGTTCAGGTGGATTTAGGTCGTGTTACTGAAGCGACCGACCTCTGTGTCTAACATCTTTTTGTCTCAGTTAAGGTTCTCGTCTAAATGTGTTTGCTGTACATCAGCCTGACAACGCCACGACTAACCGTCTGATTAACCCTCGTCCAACCAGCATGTTTAACATACAAGGACGAGCGACTGAGGACCACAACAGTGACCTCATGTTAGAAAACTAGTAATGGTAACATATGTCTTAGTTATGTAACGATTATGCAGTATCTAAAGAAAAAAGTAAAACTGTCTCTGCAACGTTGCAATGCCGATGCTGCAAGTATGAAATGTATAGTTTAATCTGTTTTACAGCTTTTATTAAGTTTAATCCACATGATTACTCAAACCTTACTGGCATCAGAGCTTTCAGTCACTTTAAGCATCATTTGTTCTGTATTTGCATGAAGCAACTAGTCAGAGTCAAACTGACTGCAAAGTAAAAAGGCCCAGAGCTGCACGGGGAGGTTGTGTGTAAATATGGACAGAGTCAGATCAATGCCCACCAAGAGTGAGTCTGATTTATCGAGAAAAGCTTTAACGTGGCTGCACGCAGGGAAAAAGAAGCTGAAACAACCACAGCTAATCAAAGTAGAGGCTGACGGAGGACGACTGCAGTGACCATAAGTGTAAAGGAGGAGCTTGGACTCAAACTATCATGGATCAGGGCAGCCGTGCTGCGTTTCAGCAGGTCCATCAGGTGACTGTGATGTCACGAAGGGTTGTTCTCCGTCTTACCAAGAGTGAGGACGGGCAGGTAGAGCGCCAGCACCACGGGGAGGTGGCTGTTTGGAGCTGTCGTTGAGTTGAGTGGACACGACTGGGAGGCCGTTTGCTCAGCATAAGGCAGCGCCTGATAGATGGTGGCAGCTGAGAGAGAAACAAAAAGGGGAACAAACGCTTTGACTTCATCCACTATCACAGTGTTGTTGGCCTGTGTGTCACTGATATACAGGACGTTCCAGCACTTCTGCTTACAGGCAACGGTTACTCACTGCAGCTGGAATGCACTGTGCTCATTTCCTGGCTTCATATCATCAGCTCTGCTTGGCTAACACATTTCCTGTTTGCTCCCAGCACTTCCCTTACACAACACTCTGACCACACAATGAACCTCTTAATGTTGAGAAGTCAAAGTACTTATGAGCTCAGCTCTCAGTTTGTTGGAATAAAAGATGGAAACGTAATGATTCAACACCTTCAACGATGACTGTGAGGATGTATAAGGGGATCCAGAGCGTGTAGCGAGTCCACAGCATGGTGCTGGACGGCGTATCCATGACACACAGCAGCTCGTGAGGATACCTGTCATCAAACCACAGGCACAGCTTATTGGACGAGAAACAATGTCTGGAAATCCAAATGTACTCAAATCATCACGTCGTATATCATAATGCAGCTACATATGGTGTAGTACGAATACGGCATTAAGGATATTATCATTATTATTATTATCATTATTATTAT